TTTGGGATTGGGCATGGTAGAGAAGGAGGTGTGGAAAGCATGTATGGAAACCAATATTTATAAGTCTGGAATAAGATAGACAGGTACTTCAAAATCAATCAAAAGTTTTTTAGTTTCCTCAAAAGACACCCACACTTAGTTAAAAGTAGTGGCTGCTGAATTACCTTGGGCCCATCACACAAACCAACATGCATTATTGTATTGTACCTTTGATTGCTCCTTGGAATAAGTAAGACTATATTTCCTGATTCAAAATAATGTTCTTTCTAGCTCTTAAGGTAATCTGACTTGAAAAATGGAATTAAAAGTTGTCTTCTTGTCATCCATTTAGTTTTGAATGAAACCACAACACATAAAACAAAGGGTGTTATATCTTGTCCAAAGACAAAGTAGACTTGACTCATTTATCTGCTTTCAGTGCAAATGTTAATTTTGACAAATTCTATTTAGTCTCTAAACTTCTTGCCAAAGAAAATGAAATGATCTCATTTGATAAACACTGTATACAGAACACTTTTAAAAGAGGGGTGTGGTTTTATTACCTGTGATATGGAGGTTTTCATAATGAGAGTGTTTGGTCATTTTAGTTTCCTCATAAGTGGAGAAGTATTTAATGAAATTTTTGATTTTATACAAATGGAAGGAGATAGTTTCCTTAAACATGTTCCCATAATGGCTATCATTGTTGCCAGTCGTAGAAAAGATGTTAAATGCTGGCCTGAAATAAAATTACATTTTAAAGTATGGAACAAGACTTTGGGTGGTGAACACACAATACAGTGTACAGATGATGTGTTGTAGAATTGTGCATCTGAAACCTGTACAATTTTGTTAACCAGTGTTATCCCAATAAATTCAATAAAAAGGAAAACAAAATAAAAACAAAACAAAGTGTGTAACAACAAGAACGTCTTGCTCCAGTTGGGAAATATGTTGAAGATGAGAATAAAGAGAAATGTTACAGTGGAAAAGAAATAAACTTGTTGGTTCTCCAAAACTATCCAATAATCTTTGAAGAAGCCCCTAAGGAATCTAGGAAAGTAACAATGAACTGCACCTGAGTTATTCAACATTGTATGTAAATTGTGACAAAAAACTGCAACAGAAAAAAAAAGACTTTTTGAGGGGTGAGGGGAATAAGATGTCTTTAGAACTTAAAAAAAAATCCCTAGAAAAAGGCAACCAAGTTAAACAGAACTTTTTGAGGAGAGGGTAAAAGAGGGATAAATGGTGCTGTAAGGAGGCTTGACTTGGGTTGGTGAACACAAAATATAGCATACAGATGATGTATTATAGAATTGTCCACTGAAATCTGTATAATTTTATTAACCAGTGTCACCCCAATAAAGTCAATTAAAAAAAACTTTCTGACTTCCTTTGCTAGGACTGTGAATTAAGTTGGATTCTAACTTGAGTTTCACAAGTCCAAATACCTCTATTTTTTAAAAAACCATTTTCCCTGGGAAGAGAGGTTTAACTTAACATCATGTACAATGTGCTTTAGAGTGCTTTAAAAACAATGGTCATTTTAGATAGGGAAATCGTTCATGGTTAATTTATAGATGCAAAGGACATGATTGACAAACAGTTGGTTTACCAAAATAAGTCTATAGATACAAGATGGGAAGACATTTTGGAGAGCTGGAAATGAATTCCAACAAGTTTAAAACGCTGCTATGCTAGTAAATAAAATCCTAAGTATGCTATGCTCAAACACTTTGGCTGAGAGAATATTTAGCTTGACATCATTTGCACCAACAAAAAGAATCAATGCAAGGTAGGCAGAAGAACAGAGCTGCAAGTCAAAATTAATTTTATATTTGACTACATTTAGTTTTACTATCACGTAGAAGAAAAGATATCCTAAAGTGTCAGAGAAGTATTAATGGAAAAGGAAACAGAAAGAATAAAAATATCCCACTGTATCATGAGACAGAAACATATTGCATTCTTTAATTTAATATAGGTAATACAGTTAGTTAGTTCTATTGTATTTACATCCTCCTTTAAAAATTAGTACAGAAACATAAAAATATTGATTTTTTTCTCACACATATTTGCTCAATTAATCCTTCTATTATTACTAGTAGCCATTTTTAACTAGTCCTATTGCTATTTTGTTTAATAGCATTTACGCAACAGAAAAGAAATATAACAGAATACATAATTTCAAGTAGGTTAAAATTTCAAATCTTTTATGTTTTCAAGTTAGAGTAATAATATATATGTGTAATTATATATTATTATTTTCATATGCATCAGATTGGCAAAAATAAAAAAGTCAGACATTTCCAAATGTTAGCAAGGATATTCAGAAAAAAGAATCTTATATACTGCGTATTGAATATAAACTGGTATAACTACTTTGTGAAATAATCCAGCAATATCTAGTATATTTAGCATATTAGTTTTCCATTGCTGTGTAACAAGTTACTAGAAACCTAGTATCCTAAAACACATTTATTATGTTGCATTTTCTTCAGGCCAGAAATCCAAGGACAGCTTAGCTGATTCCTCTGTTCAGGGTCTCATAAGGCTGCAATCAAGTTATTAGTCAAGCCATCTTTTCATCTGGAGGTTTGACTGGGGGAAAGTCTATTTCTAAACTTTCTCCAGTTGTTGGTACAATTCATTTCCTTCTGGTTGCAGGACTGAGGGCCCTGGCTTATTACTGGCTATCACCTGGAGGTGGCACTCAGGCCCTAGTAGCCACCCACAGTTTTCTGCCATGTGATCCACTCTGTATGAAGTTCACAACATGACAGCTCACTTTTTCAAGGCCAGCAGGAGAATATCTAGCTCCAGGCTCCTCAGATACTTATGTATGAAATGTGACCATGGGAACAACGTCACATCAATAGAATTGTTGTCACATTCTATTGGCTAAAGTCACAGGTCCTACCCACAGCAATGCCGGGGGGCCAAGATTATGGGACCATTTTAGAGTTGTGCCTACCACATCCAGTAAAGTTAAAGATGCAGTGTCCTAGGATCTAGCAGTTTCCCTGTATACATGAAGATATGTTCAAGAATATTCATTATCAGCATTGTTTGTAATAGCAAAACTATTGTTTTATAGTTTTTAAATTTCTCAGAATACAAATATATATAGTCAGAGACATAAGCTAATGAAACACCATGAATTATAACATTGTTTATAAAGGCAACATATATATGGGAATTATGTTTCAGTAATGGCTTACCATTGTTTTAAAGAAGTTCTTCCACCGTTGAGAACAACTGGACAAAACATAAAAAACGTTAAGGCAATGAACTGCTATTATGGCAGTGAGAATTTATGAGTCCCAGAACTGGAAGAAAGGGGAGCTATGAGAGATGATCCAGATATTTGCCATCACTTTTCCAGCTGAGATGATTGCTAACTCTGAAAGTAGGGGCTAAATAAAGCTTTTGGCTGTCTCATTGGGCTTACAAGGCCTGGCTGAGGAAGAGAGGTCCTAGTAAATATGCCATATTTTGGTTGTGTTAACCTAAAAATAAAAGACCTTTCAAAGTGAGAGGCAACGAGCATTTACTTAAGATCAGAGGATAGCTACTCCGGAATCGCTGATCAGACAGAAACTCAAATAGTGTTCCAATTAGAGAGAAAGGCAAGGGATATTTATGAGAACATGAGAGGAACAGCTACATCAGTAGAAGAAAGTCATTTCTATTGGTGCAGGTAACAGAACAGTGATGCTAATTCCAAAGAGTTTTTAAAATTTTAAGTATGGTAATTATCAGTCTGGTAGAAATATCTGCTTTCTTGTTATCTTTGCAAACAGTTCTTTGGGACACAATGTTGTTGCTTTAGGCCCATCGAAAGGTTACTTTGCCCCGTTTTAACATTCCATAGGTTTGAGGAACAAGATGTGCAAAGCAGTTCCTCTTAGGTGATAGTTACAGATCCACTTTAAAGTGACTCTGTTTATACTACTATTTTTTAAAGTTAAATCCTCAAGGGATACCTTAGCTAGGAATAAGGGTGAACTGGAAATAAATTAGTTTTTACTAAGTCTAAAGTCCAGCTCTGAATAATCTTAGCCCCTAATTGGATTAAAGTGATCCGTCCTCCGCTTTACAGTGGTCAGGCATACTTTCCCCTAAATCTCTCAGAATACCTACCCTTTCCCTAACCCCCTTGCTCAAACTCAACTCTGATGGGGAATACTGATGCTGGGGAGAGCCAGGAAAAACGAACATTTATAGCCTAGGACTCATGTAGTGTGATCCTCTGTCCCACACTTATACATGTATTAAGCTACCCGATCTCTTTCCCCTTGTTTTTTAAACACTTAGGAGGTGCTTAAAATCAATATGATAAATCATGTTACACATGAGACTTTCTAATTCCTTGACCTCTGCTTGTCTGGCTTCAGTCGTTCTTCTTTTGAAGCCACTGCTGAAAAAGAATTCAGCAAAAATAAAAATAAAAAAATCCCATCAAACTTAACAGTAACAATTATTTGCCCCAAATTTTCATTTGAAGGCACTGAGAATAAAGCAAGTATTTGTGTCCCATCTATTTAATGATTTGATACTTATACATTATCAGGCAAAGGGGATGGGAGAGAACTAAAAAAAAGGAATAACTAGAAGCTTCCTCAAACATAGCACTCCCTTAGCCTTCATTCATCCCATCCTCCACTTAATAAACATGTATTTGAGAGCATGGTGTTAGAGGCTAAGTACGGATACAGGTGAGCGAGGATCGATAGGACTGGAAGAGCTTCGGAGACAGGTTTGTAGACTTTAACATTGCAATTCAACCTAAGAAGTACCGTTTCATTGTCACTCCACCACGACTGTACCTCCGCCATTGACCGCGAACCCTCAGCGAGACCTTCTACTCCACCTCCTACCTTTCAACTGGTTCTGGGCTAAACGCTAGGACTGTTCCAGGGAAAGGCCATTGAAACACTACATTTCCCAGTAGCCTCTGCAGGAGGGCAGCGGAGGGGCGTGCGCAGGCACGTGGGCCAACCCCCGCGCGCAGACGCACTGCGAACGCCGGCTGAGCTGGGTCTCGCAGCTGGGTGCGCGGCGGCGGAGAGCGAGGCCTGGTGAGCACCCCCTAGGTGCGAGCCGACTTCTTCGAGGTTGTGTAAGCGATAGGTTTGGCGGGCCGGCGAGCGAGCAAGCGGTTTCCTTCAAGTGGCACCGGGATCGGTTGCCGTTAGCCTGGTGAGTGCGGGAGCCCCCGCAGTCTCAGCTCCTCCTCCTCCCCGTGCGGATCTCGCAGTTCGGCGGGACCCAGGAGAAGAAGTCCCGGGGCGAGGGAGGGCGCCGGCCGTCCTCTAGCTGGGGTTCCTGGGCCCAGGCGCCCGTGGCGCGTCGGTGCGTCATGGGCCCGGCTGGCCTAACGGCCGCGCGACCGGCGGAGAGGAGTGTGGGGGTTGGGAGCGCTAGTGTGTTTGCTGTAGGGAACGCCGGTTGAGGCGGGGGGAGGCGATGGGGCTGGGAGCGGCGCCGGGGACTGCGGGCTGTCGAGGCTGCGGGGCGGAGAGGAGGCGGGCGCTGAGCCTGCGCTGCGGCCCGGCGCGAGGCGGGGGTGGGCAGCATGGAGCGCTGAGACTGAGGCAGGAAAGAGGAGGCGGGGTGGGGGGAACGTGTAAGGATCTTAACCTAAGCGGGTTGGGACCGTCTCGGGATTTCACAAGTTACAACCCGAGCGGGAGCCCGTGGTTTGGAGGCAGGTGGGGGTGGAGACGGAAGACTGCAGTTTACCGATGTCATAACAACATGGGCCTGAAGCGGCTGACAGGGGTGTGGTAATTATAGGAATGGCAGAACTTCGTTTGCACACAGTCTGTGTAAGTGGTGATTCGAGGGAAACGGCTAAGTATTAGATTAAGCTCAAAAGGGGAGGAGAAAACAAGGATGACTGGAGACCGGGAGGTCGTTTTGAAGGAACATTTTTGGTTTGAATGGAAGTATTTAATATTTCACTTAGAAATGCAAGATTTCACAGTAATTGACCTTTAAAGTTTAAATTTAGAATAAACAGTTTCCAGGTATTTTTCCAAAACATTAAGTAATACTAATTTTTCCAATCCTTTTCTTTTCTTTTAATAAACTGCTTTGAAAATCTGTTTCTTAGCAGTAGGTGAGTGATTTTTCCTCCCTCTTGTTGCTTCAAGTCTCATTCTTGACATGGTTTTTTCAAACTTGTTCTTGCATTTGTAATATTTTGAAAGTAAGTAACAAGTATTCCTTCTTTATTTTAAAAATTGAAGGGACAGAATCTTAACTTTTCAAAGGAAAGTGAGCATAAACTCTTGTAATTTTACTGTAATAATTTATTCTTGGAAGGAACTGTTCTGTGTGTAATACCTGATTTTAAGATTAAGGACATGAACGAAAGTACCAGGTACTGTGCTAAATACTTTTTGGATAGTAAAACATTTAATGCTTAAAGGAGCTCTGAAGTAGATACTAATTTTTCCTGTTCTAACAGATGAAAACTTTGAAGGTGAAAGAAGTAACTTAGGTAAGGTCATCCAGCTCCTGTTTGAACCAGCTTTAGAACCTAAAGTTACTGCCATTTTAAGAATTATTCCTCGTTTTCTTTCATACTTCTTGATTGTGTTTTCTTTATTTAATCCATTCATTCAGCGAATACTTACGGAATGATCATGTGCCCCAGACTGGGGATATAGATCATGAACCTGTTTTTGTTTCCTTTGGAATTTATAGTGTAGGGAGAAAGACTAACAACATTGAATGTATTATAAATACTATGTGACATTTAATCTGTCATTATAATTAAGCAGAAACTGTAGTGTACTCTACTGAATAGCAAAGGAAGTTCAAATAGAATCAAACAACATAGTCTTGAGTTTACAGTCTAGTAGGGAAACAAAGCATTTTATTAAAACCTAGAATAAACTAAATGACAGAAATAAATGCCTTGCCTGAAGGCAGTATAATTGCATTATGTTACTTTAGGTCCTTGTAGAAATTTCTTCACAGAACTATGACTTAATATTATGCATCTAGACTTTTATCTAGGATTGGAATGTAAGAAAAGACAACATCGGGAAAAAACACTACATTGCTATCCAAGACACTATTTCTAATTTGTCAGTTTTTTGTAAAGCAGAGACCCTTAGAGACAGTTTTTTGAAATCCCCTTTGATAGGCCTTTTCTCTATTTTTGCTTTTTTAAAAAACAAATAAATAACTGCTTTTATTAGATCATTTGTGTTTTGTAAGCCATCCTGTTTCTCTTTACACTTTGGCTTCAGGAGGCTCAGAACGTGGGCCAATTTTTTGTAATGTTCCTTGATCTCAGCTGTGTTATAAATTAACCAGCTAGTCTGGAGTTGCTCTTAATTTACTTCTTTACTATTTTATTTGTTCCCTATTGCTCTTGATTTTGTTTTTATCTTTTCCCTTTCCTTTGAAAGTAAGGATTATATCTTACTCTTTTAATTTATAGTGTTTTAGCATAGTGTTTGTTGAATTGATGATAAAGTCTTGATGATGTCAGATGTTGCGTTTTTACATCTGTCAGACTGTTAGAAGTATGTATGGATACTTTGTAGAAAATCAATTAAAACTTTTGGCCATGCAAGTAAAGACGACTAACCCTAGTGATAAGGATCATTCCCTACTGCCCTCTTAATAGTAAGATTTCTGTACTTTGCATGGTATTATTAATTCAGCCATATTAATGGAAGAAAACATTGGAAATGGTCAACAATTCAATTAGCTGATTGGGGCTGATTTCATTCTACTCTTGCTGCAGTAAGCAGGAGGTGGTCCCAGGCCAAAGAGGGGACAGATAGGGACCTCCTTAGAAAATATTGAGGCCCTGCAGTGAAAGAGCAGGAATAAAGATTGATGGAACTGTTACAGTTATTTTTTTGTTTGTTTTTGTTTTTAAGATGTTCCAACTTTACAAAACAGACCTAAGTGATAAAATGGTTCTGCCATAGTGTAGTGGTAGACTAATTGGGACAGTTCTGGAAAGCAGGCAATAATCCAGAATGTAGATAATGGGGATAATCTCCTACACATAGCAAAGATAATGCTGCCCTTAATATACAAAGATAAATCTGCTTACTCATCATCATTGATTTTCCATTGTGAAGAGGGATATATGCTCCATTGTCCATGGGTCTCTGTGCAACAAAAGAGCTGAGGGTCAGAATGTGGGTTTGTAGTTACGGAACCAAGGAGACCAGCAGAAAGTTCTAACATCTGTTGATGGGTCAAGCACTACATCAGGTGCTTTCACTTAATCCTTGTAAAGCCACTTTGAGGAGGTAGTCATGTGTACAGGGTGGCTAACTAACCTGCCCTCCTTCACAAAGTGGTGGAGCTTGGATTCAAACACAGGGCTATTTGGACTGTTGTTCACATCAGTAATTCAAGCTTCATTTTGTTTTGGGTTGCAGTTCAGTGTGTCCAGCAGAACAAACTAGACGTAGTTTGTGTAGCATCATGAAATGATACTGTGAAGATTTAATTTACTAAAAGCTGAAAAGCTGTTTATGTTCCTTGCTTTATTGCTGTTAAAAAATACAACTTTAAAATTAGAATAATAACTGAAAGCAACTGTTCCCTGTCCCAGCCTGTACACATTAGAGGCTACTATTTTCTTTCTTTTAGCTGTTTCCTTTTTCATATTTATAAATAACTTGGTTCTATTGCTATTTCTTGATATAGGAATTTTTGGACATTGTCAGTTGACTGACTTTTCTCCATGTCTCCACACTGCCTCTCCCATCCTCCCCATACAGTTATCACAGGTGTTTATTAAGTTAACATTCAGTGTTTTTACAGTATTTCAATTTTAGCTATTAACAGCTGAATCATGTAGTGTATTTTGATGTCATTTATTCACTTAATTTAGTTTTTCCAGGAGTTGTTACCTGCCCCCACCCATCACCTTTCATTTGCTGAGACAGTTGTCCAGTAACCCCCTGTCCTTTTCATGCTGTCTGGACTAGTTACTTTCTAGACCTACTTTATAGTTGTTATCCTGGAATTTCTCATGTCACTCTTAAAATTCTCTTTGCCCCTCTCCTTTATTGGATCTTTTACTTCCCACATTTTCTAAGCTTCCTGAGAAAGAATACCTGGGAAATAAAGTAAAAACTTTATGAGAGCTTGCACGACTGGGGAAAAAAATCCTTATTCTACCTTGACATTTTATCAGTAATTTGGCTGGGTATAAAATAGAGGTGTAACTCTATTGTTTTCTGCATTCTAGTCTTGTCGTTGAAGTTCAAAGCTATTCTGATTCTTCTTTTTGATATGATCTTCCCTGTCATTCCTTCATCCTCTAGAAGCTTTTAGGATATTATTTTTAACCCCTGAGTTCCATAATGATGTGTCTAGATGTGAGTCTTTTCATGTAAGGGCACTCCATGGACACTTAAAAGCTGGAAATTCATGTCTGTTATTTTTTGGAAATTCCTTTTATTATTACTACTATTTGACTTTTTGGTAACTTAAGTTTTACAAGTAATTATGCTTCTGAGTTCTTGATCCTTGTGAACAGACCATACAAGCCCTTTAAGTTTTTCGCTTTCATTTCTGAGGCCTACTTCCATTACCCTTTCCAGCAAGCACCTACTTCATTGTGGTTGATACGCTTGTGGATAATATGTGAGTCATTGTAAAATATTTAGAGGGTTATAGGTGTGTATTTAGTTTACATATAGTCATCATATGCCACTTAATGACATTTTGGTCAACTACAGGTGTGCCATAAGATAATGGAGCTGAAAAATTCCTGTTGACTAGTGATACCATGACATCTTAGCCCACGTGTTTGTGGTCATAGCGGTATAAACAGACCTACTGTACTGCCAGTCATATAAGAGTATAGCGCATGCAATTACAGTTCTAGGTTGTACCATGTAGGTTTGTATAAGTGCACTCCATGATGTTTGCACAAGATGAATCACTTAACATCACATTTCTCAGAATGTATCCCCATCGTTAGGTGGCACATGACTGTACAGTTGACTCTCGAGCACCTCGAGTTGGAGCACCAGCCACTGTGCAGTCCAAGTATAGACCAAGTATAGACCAAGTCCGGACCCCAAAATCCAAGTATAACTCCTGATTCCCCCAAACCTTAGTTTTCTCTTGTATCCCTGGGTGATTGGTTCTAGGGCCTTCTCCTTTCCCTGTGGATACCAAAATCCCCTGTATAAAGTGGCATAGAT